TAGAGATGTGTTGCTCTTTCACTGTCTGCTACTTTGGCACTGTTCCGCAGTTGTCACTGGAGCTGACTGTTCCGCTGCGACAAAAGAAGCAGTGATTTTTCGGAGCGTTTACTGCAAAGTGCAATTTACTAGCGCCAGAGACATAGCTCAGGCGTGCCGGCCACAGCAGAGCAGATTCTCGCTCAGCCGTTGCGAACTGTGCTTGAATTTTGAATTAGTCACAGTGTCACACACTAAACATATAATACAGTCGCGTTTGATTTAAAGACATTGTATTTCAGCGACTAGAGCAATGCGTGTATTGCTGGTTGCTGCTCTACAAATATTTTAAAAGTTTTTGTTTACAAAATCACTTAAAACTTAGACTAAGCAAAAAACATGCGACTGTTCTTCATTTGTTTTTGTTGCACTCGCGGAAAAATTTTGAATATCTGGCACTGTACTCACTGTAGGATGTCGTTGTTCTATGTGTCTTTTTAAATTGGTGATTGAAGATTTATAACAAATATTTTGCTTGCATATATTACAACAAGCTTTACTTTCATGCGTTGGTAAAAATAAATTCCACAGGAAAGATTTTCTTCGTTTATCCATGTCCAATTTTATTTGTAATAAAAGTTTATCAGTAGTAACTTAGGACAAAATAACAGATAACGCTATATCAAATTCAAATAAATAATGCAAAAGCGAAATAACAAATTGAGCTAAATCTACGAAAGTTGGCACATGCTTGAAAAACAGCGCATGACGAAAGTATCCCTATTCCCTAACGCTAGCCGCTATTAAGCACGACAAGTGTCGATTTATGAACTTTGACGCGAAAATAAGGGAACATATCACGGTAGGAATGTATGCGCGCGCTACCAGGAGCTGTTCCGAAAAATCGCAGCTATTTGTCACTGCTCTGTTGCCGGAGCAGTAGCAGGTGTCACTGCTCCGCAAAAAGAGCAGTTTAGCCCATCTCTACTGTGTGAGGCAAAATACTTCAAAATGTCTGCGCCCGTAACGTCCCTAGAAAAGTGGATGCGCACTCGTCGAAGCTCATTCTCCCCTACTCCATATCTCTGGTTTAACCTAAAGTTAGTTCAAATCACGGTCACTTCTAGTTTGGTCAATTTGACCAAACTGAAATAACCAAGTGATAAAATAAATTCAGCTAGTAAATTCACTGCCTATTTAACCTATTTCTGAAACATGGACCCTAGTTTCATTTTTTATATCGCTTTAAGTGACTGCGCAGAGATTACGGGCAAGTCAGTAGGGGAACCTCAAAAGCTGAAAGCTAAGCTGGGCTTGGTGGACTATGGGCTGGGCTTGCTATTGCGCATATATCGCGCGTCCCTTTACTCGACTTTTAAGAGCAGTAGGGTTGTGGGCCACAAAACAGGGGGAGCCAATTTACTGTTAATTATACTGTATAAAAATAAAATCAAATCAAATGTCAATAGTAAACAAAATCTTGTTCTCTTCGAAATTGGGTTCATGGATCTAGTTCGTGTTTGTCTGATCCACGTCTGATCTTGATCAGTTCAGTGTTCAGTGATCAAGCTGAGAGCAAATTTAAACGGCATATACCTTTCTATGGCATCTAAGGAATGCAATCTGAAATCAGAACACCTGATTGGCTGAATTTAAATTCCCGTCATGAATTTTTAAAATTAACCAATCAGCTGCTTTGATTTTAAATTACAATCTGAAAATCGCATCGTCAAAAAATCTGTCATTCAAATTGTAAATTCTAGGTTAGGTATGTAATTGCAAAATCCAAGATAATAGAAATATCGAAAATTAATATATTTAGTTTTAATTAATATTTGAACACTAGAAAAAATTTATATTAATAGTACCACAAACTCACAAAATAATTTGAGTTTTGTAAGAATATTTAGTGAATTCAATATAGCTGTTATAATTTAATTAAATTGATTGCATTGTAATCAAGAGAGTTATGTACATTTGAAATTTGAACATCATACTTATTTGATTCTTCAAAGATGTTTTCCAGTGTCGCTCAGTCAAGACTGTTAGTAAAGAATATTCTATCTACACAAACACAGAAACTTTTGATGGGCACGAGTTTCCCATCTAAACTAGTATATTCAGAACATGGAGTACCATCCGACGTGCTTCGGAAAGAAAACGACAATATCAGGGAACCGAAAGAAAACCAAGTGCTCTTAAAAATGCTTGCAAGTCCAGTGAATCCGATTGACATTAATGTCATTGAAGGCAAGTACATTTTTAAGCCTCAGTTACCAACCGTAGCAGGTAGTGAAGGAGTTGGAGAGGTTATCTCTGTAGGACCAGGTGTTTCCGATTTGAAAGTAGGAGACCATGCAGTAATTATGACAATGTACTCTGGAACGTGGAGAAGTCATCTTACAGTACCGAGAAATAGTGTATTGAAAGTTCCCAGTGAGTTAGGACTAGTAGAGGCTGCAACTTTAGCTATAAACCCATGTACAGCATATAGAATGCTAAAAGATTGCGTCAATCTGAAATCCGGGGACACCGTAGTGCAAAATGGTTCAAATTCGGCTTGTGGCCAAAATATAATACAATTGGCACGCGTTTGGGGTATTAACACAGTCAATATCATACGAACAAGGCCGAATGTGGAGGAAGTTAAAGATTTTTTAACTAGTTTAGGAGCCACTCATGTGCTGACAGAAGAAGAGTTCAAATCAACCGACATATTCAAATCGGGCGAAGTTGCTGCGGCGAAACTGGCCTTGGATTGTGTGGGGGGTCAAAGTGCTGCTGCGTTGCTAAGGAATCTGCAGATTGGCAGTACATTGGTGGTGTACGGAGGCATGTCGAAACAACCAGTTTCGATTCCCGTATCGGCACTTATTTTTAAAGATATTCATGTTTGTGGATTTCGCATAGCTAAGTGGATGGAAGAGAATAATAGGAATGAGCACTGGCAGAAGATGTTAGATGAATTGATTTCTTTAATGGTTAATAAAGAGTTAAAAGGATCTGTCCACAAGATTATAGATAGTGACAATTATAAGGAAGCTTTAAATAATACCATAACTGAAAAAGGAATGGTTGGAAAGAAGTTTATACTTTCTTTTAATAAATAAATGTTTGTAATTTACCTGTAGAATAATAATTTAATTCAGATATTTTTGAGATTAAAACTTACTTTACTAAGGTCTAATGCATGGATTACAATAATAAACAGTAGTTACTACCTCATATTCTAGCACTTAGTAATTTATATTCTCTATTTCTCTGAGTTTCAAGGGTTTCAATGCTGTCGATGAAGTAGTTGAATTCAAATTGGCCGTTTGATGAGAAATGAATTCCATCTTACAGATATTGATGTCGGTGTTACTTGATAATCATTGAAGACGAGTAGAGGGAAGAGGATTTTTAAGGGCACTTATTATTTATCTCTGCTCGTTTTTTAAAAGTGTATTTAATTTATTAAATAATTCAATAACACCTTACAAGCCGGCGCCATCTAAAGTAAACTACAATAACTACATTAGATTATCGAACTGTCAATTCGAAAATACAGTATGGCCATCTAGTAGACGTAGTCCAAACTAACTAGTTTTATATAATTAGCGTTCACTGAAATACCGATTGTAATCACAATCAACAGGAATAATAATCCTATTTACCTATTTTAAAATACAAGTAATTTTAAAATTATGCATTTAAAAAGTTAATATGACTATGAAAATGTCAAAAGGATATAATGAGGTAAGAATGCAAGAGCACAAAGCGTATTAAGTAATCTCCCTAATCTAATTAACTTTTGTATATCCTATAAAGAAGAGAATGAAATATGTATTGGCCATTACGTCAGTATTGTATAAAATAATCGTTAAAAATAGTGCTTCAATAATTTTGCCTAGCTCGTCTCGTCCATTAGCAGCCTGGCACTGAATTTAAAATATGCTCGTCAAATCCCACATTATTTATAAACAATTCGGAGCACATGTTACATTCATTCAACCAGCGTTTAATTATTGTTTTTCTCGGAAGTATATCAAATTTAAATATAGAGTAGCATTAAAATCACAGTTTATGACCAGCTAAATTAGTTTCATGGCCTTCAAAGTAAAAGCGATATGTGATATTAAAGAAATGGGATAATTTTCGTAGTCTAATATTATCAAAAAATGATAAATTGTATCGATTTTTTAAATTTGAAAATGCCAAAGTTGTTTGCAAATTGAGGGGGCAGAGGGCGTATTGTAGTTCAGGTGGAAATATTAGATGGCGCATTATAATGCAAAAAACAGGTAGTTTGGAAGATATTTTTTATTTTGTTGTTCTTATACGAAATAAGGTTGGATTTAAAATTAAACAACATTAAATAAACATTGAAAGTACACAACGCACTGTTTCTGTCGATAGATTAAATCATCTTTACAAGGTGCAGTGCAAAGTATGAATATGAAATGATTCATTTATACGAATGTGATTCAATTCAAGTATTTCTAACAATGATGCCTGTTATACAAATTAATTGAGTAGGTACGGTATGAAGTAAGATTCTCTTTGATCTACAAAAACATAATTAATGAGTGCGGATTTGAATTTTAATTAATGTTCCAAAGCAGATGTGGCGCTTAAATCTTAGTTAATAGTTAAATAAAGTAATGACAGCTCCGATGATGCTATAAAGTCATGACATGAAAACATATTGAAGTATTTTAAGCAATGAAATTATTTATTTAGAATATACAGAAAATTTAATAAATTAGTTGATATTGCTATTTTCCACGCCGACTTTGTTGCACCTGTAAGAGTTTTCGTTTGTTTTTTTGAGGAAAAATAATTTCGAACAAAAGAAATAGGCTAATACAACCATGACTTGGCAGTATAAAGTGGCGTATATGGAGTAGCGAAGTTGTTTCCAAAGAACCATTCGTTGTAGGCTGTAGTAGACCAGCTACGATGTCATTTATTAATATCCTCGAATGATAAATGGTATGGGGCTTAATACTGGATACGCTTGGGTTGTGATTGTACTTTGGAGCGACTAACTGTGGAGAATATCACTTCCCGCTTTCCAGACTCCTATTATGCCACAATTTGAGTCGTTACTTGGTAGACAGGGGAACCTCAATGGCACACGACGTCGATGCTGTCCTTGTTCACATCGTACAGGGCGTTTATTATACAGGATGTCCCACCGGGAATTGCCTTGATCGATAACTAAGAAAGTAATGCTCCAAAAAATTTAAAAATTGGAAATGTCCCTGAGGTGAACACAATTAAAATAGCTAGAACTCTCCAGTACTTCCGGTAATACCGGATGTCGACACCAACTTCGTTATTTTAAATGGGACATCCTATATATTATTGCATTTTCGTATTCTACATGAAATTTGAGGAGCGTGATATCAAACGAATTTTTGGTACCTGTAAAGGGTATATATAACACTACATTGTGGTATACCAACAAATTAAAACATTTAAGGTGTTTCATTTTTGCTGTTACATTTTGATAACTTCAAACAGCTATAACTTTGTTAACTTAAATGGAACACCCTGTATTTTTTTACTCTGTCGTATGCAGATTGAAATTTCCTTTCAAGCCATATAATCATTGTTATGGATGCCGTTACTACTTTTAGAGATATTTGCAATTTTCTATTTTTTGGACAGTTTTTCTCGTATCAGACCTGCTGTCAAATTGGCCATGACCAGAAACACTCCAAAAACAATTGAAATAACATGACATTTGTCAAGATAGTTGTCAAATTATTGTTGTGTCTGAATAGTTTTTGCCGGAAATTTAAATAAAAATGCTTGAGGATCAACTAAATTATACTAATGAGGATTATTTTAATTTGCTATGGAAAAGGTGACAAAGTAATTTCAAGAACATGCAGAGAATCCGCTGCTTTCTCCCAACAAACATATTGGATTAGATTGTGAAGTATATTTAAAATAGTACAGATTTTAGTGGTGAAACAAAAAATCTTTAACATAAAAAAACCATAAAACACACCACAGAAATGAGACAACCCCCAAATCCAAAGCCAAAGGCTGTGCGGAAGGGGGCTACACTTGAAAAAACGCGGACAAACACCCATTATCCATCGACATTGCCAGTGCCGACACCGGGGATCGAACCCGGACCAGAGTAGGAAGCCTGGCCGAGAAATGCTTGCCACCGCACTCTCGACCGACTGCGCTACCGTGGCGATTAAACACCTTGTATTTATGAAGTGAGGAGCATGATGAATGACATTTTTGTCTCATTTTTGTAAGAGGAATATTCCATAAACGATGGTACAGCTCGTATGATGTTTGTTGAGCTATAATTCCAAAAAAAAGAATAAGCCAATAATGTTGTGTTACTCTAACAATTTACTGCGGTAAGGGCGTGCCTTGAAATTTTCCGCCAATGACTTTCTACCTCGAGTGTCGAATGCGGTTAATTCCAAGAAAGTGATGCTTGGAAAGTCTGCTTGGATTTCTCTCTCAACAAATATCGTACGGACTGCATAAACTTTTTGAAATTCTCCGGATTTTTCATTTATTCATTTATATTAGGTATACGAAAATATGATGCAGTATCAAGTTTAATATGATAAAGCAATGATGAAACCTTGGAAAAATGTATATCTTCAAGAATTAAGACGAGGTTTTAAAAAGGAAACTGATTGTACAAGAAAATTGGCAATTTCGATAAGTTAGAAGTTGTATGTATAAGTATTGTATTTTCCTGGAAAAATATTGAAAATATGTTAACTTCTTGCTCTAGGCAGATGTTTCACTTCTATGTGTTTGGATGAGCAACATAGGCGTCGTAATATTTAGTTTCAAGGGGCATAAAACTATTTACGGCTTAGTGGATAGCTTTAGATTATGGCATATTCATTACCAAATGTGGTCTGACACTGATATTTTTGTGTGGATCTTTCTTCTCTGTAAAGCTTATACAACAACGTTTGCATTTACATCTAAGACTAAAAGTATATTCCAATATTGAAGTTTTTTTTGTGAATTACCTACAGGGTGTTCTATTAAGAATGGGAACATCGGTAACGTTACTGGCTAATACAGGAGTTGATGTATTAGCATTCAAGAGACATTGTGGGTGGAAACCAGCCACAATTGCAGAAAGCTTAAGTAACAAAAATGAAATAGCCAACAGGATTCTCTACAATGACACTTTAACTCCAGGCTCTAGTAGTACGTCGCATCATGCTGTTTTATTTAATAGATCAGTCGAAGGGACGAAAGCAATTGTATTTATTGTAAACAATTGTTTGTTTTGTTTATTTCGTCTATGTAGGTAGAACTGTTTACAGTAGTAAATGGTTTATGAACTATCGAATCCTCTAAAGTGGTTGAATTATTTAAAAAACCGCTTCTAGCACTTCATGTACTTGCACTAGGGAATTTTTTTTGGTAACAACTGATTTACTGGTTATGGACTCCTCAATATAGCCTTCAGTTGCCGTTTACGATTTCCATCCACAAAGCATTTTTAAAGCTGTGATATCAGCTTCAGAATTTATTAATAGTGTAGTTGAAGTTCTACGGAAACAATGTCCGGTATATTCGTGAGCATTCTTCAAATTAGAAACGCAGCAACTTGTTTTGGCATTTTCCCAAATGCATGAATTCCTATTTATTGGTTATATGCTTTACCATTTGAATATTTAAAAATAATCTGTTACTATTTATATAGGTTTTGCGGTACTATATTTCCGATATATGTCTAAATATTCGCTTACGATAAAGCATCTTTTCTTCTTTGTTTTTGTAGTTGGCAGAATGATCAGCAATCTATTTGCCATAAATTCAGTATCTCCGATTTTTATTTGAAGTGATTCATCACATCAACACGCCCCAGATAATGCAAAAGTTATTGCCACCTAAAATAATAATAGTCAGCATTCTTCGTTTGCAAAAGTATTTTTGTACCTAAATATGTATGTATGTATCTATTAGAAATTTTTTAATTTGTTCAGTTTCTAAAACGCGTGATTTTTAGCACGATATCCATCCGATTACCGTTTCAAGAATGCTTTTAATTTTAGATACTTTCCAATATCGATGTTGTTGTAGACATTTAAAGCAGCTCTGAGTATCGCATATAGGTATTGATCATAATGAAGAAGATTTCATACTTTTGCTTAATTCAGAAAAATACACCAATACATTTTCTGAAAAATACATAATCAGCCCGGTAATCAATAAATTTTTTATGTTTGCTGATACATCTTCGATTTTACTGGTAATAAATTAGACTATATTTGCTTTGCAGATTCTCCACCTCAAATAATAAATAGTTATTTTTATGAATTTAAATATGAACAATATGGCGATTACTATATATACCTAAAGCCTGTATCTGACAATGCAATTTGGGTGGGGAGACAAAATTGCGGGGATTTTGTTGCGGGGAAAAAATTGCTTGCTTTTTATGACACAATACCGTGAGAAAATTGCTGCATTATGTTTAGTTTATAGTAGTGTTACCAACTGCACATTTGTTTAACATGTAAAACATCTGAAAGTAACTTGTTGTAAACTATAAACTATTACTTTTGATTCAGGCAAAACATTGCAACGGATGAAAATTTTAAAATAAATTGCTGTATAGTTTTAATAGCGGCCTCAACCAACAACCAACATACATAAAATCAAGAAGATGGTGGGTTCCACTGTAGATTTTGGTGCTCTCGAGGTTGTTTTAACCTTTCCACAGGTCTACTAACTATAAAATACAGATTGGTAATAAGCAGATCTTTATAAAAGTAACTATAATCCCCGAAATTTTGTTGCATGGAAATAGAGCACGTTCTAATTCATGCAATTCAATTGCCGCGACAGAATTACTCAGTCTGATAAGAAAGATTTCATTCATCGTGGCAATAAAATCTCTACAATCAAATTGCATTGTCAGGTTAAGGCTTAAGTTATTTACTTAATAACGTTCGTCTCCTAGCAGCCACTGACGAACTGATGAAATTATTATTATTCATGAAAATAAAATAAATAGCTTTATTTGCTATCGTGATAAAATTATAACTGATCGGCGAAAAAATTGTGTTTAACTTGTCAGTAAAGTAGATTTAATGCTTTGGCTAAATCTTGTACTCTACTGCTTAGTTAAACAAATAACTATTATCGTGCTGTATGCGATTTTCTGTCTGTTCAACAGGTGTGTATAGTTCAGGAAAAGTGATGATAAACATAAGATGTAAAATTATGTTTTATTTTCTCATTTTGACAGGACAGCTTATAAACTGTGTTATAACCCGGAGAGAACTTGTATAACTGGGACAGTGAAGAGATAATAATTTTAACTTGTATAGATTTTCTAAAATTCTCGTCAAAAAGCGTCATAAATTCATTGAAAATTACGCTTACTGATAATAAAAGTCGCCACCAACTTCGTTATTTTAAATGAGACATCCTATATATTATTGAATTTTCGTAATCAACTTGAAATTTGAGTGTCACTTTATTAAATATTTTAGTTGTACATTTTGAGATATTAATTTTTAAAGAAAAGATTTGACAGGTACAAGAGTTCGCGGAGATGCTAGTAACTCTTTTCAGGAGCGTGATATCAAGGGGATTTTTGGTACTTGTAAAGGGCATAGATAATGCTAAATTGTGGTATACCAAATTAAAACATTTAATACTAGGTGTTTCGTTTTTGTTGTTACATTTTGATAACTTCAAACAGCTATAACTTTGTTAACTTAAATGGAACACCCTGTATTTTTTACCCTGTCGCATGCAGATTCAAATTTCCTTTCAAGCCATATAAACGTTGTTATTGTTGCCGTTACTACTTTGAGAGATATTTGCAATTTTCTATTTTTTGGACAGTTTTTCCCGTTCTGTTGTCAAATTAAAATCTAATTATAAACAACTTCGTAATTATAGTTTATCGATGGTTAGAAGTAAAAAAAAGGTTAGTTACAATCAGTCTCTCGAAAAAAAAGTTCTAAAGCCACCTGGAATGCTCTTAAACAGTTAAATGTTCGATCTAATAAAGTTTCATATTCCAGATGATTTAAACAATCCTGACAAAATCAATAGTTATTTTGCTTCGTTTCTTCAAAATGTTAATAATAACTGTGACAATCTAATTGAATTTTATAATGACAATTTAAAAAATCCTAATTGTTCGTTTAATTTTTCTCTTACATCTATTAATTAGGTGAATAGTATTTTGAATAGTATAAAATTTGAGAGTACTGGAACTGATGGAAAATCTTGTACAATGCTTAAATATTGTAGTCCTTTTATTGATCAATATATAACACACATTATAAATTGTTGTATTGAAGCAAAATATTTCCCATATTCATGGAAAATTGCTATTGGTAAGCCTATACCTAAAAATAATTCTCCTTTGACGTTTTCAGATCTAAGAGTTATAAGTATTTTACAAACTATTTCCAAAGTGTTTGAAAAGGTATTGTATTTTTAAATTTATGATTATTTTATACTAAATAAAATGCTGCCTGACTCACAAAACGGTTTTGGAAAGATCTATAGTACAACAACAGCATTGACTGTTGTTAATAATGATCTTTTGGAAGCATTTGACAAAGGGTTGGTTAGTGTTCTGGTGTTACTGGATTTTTTCAAAGGCCTTTAACACTATAAACCATGGATTAATTTGTGCCAAAATGAAATACTATGGTTTTGATCACTGCTGTAGAGCTTATCTCATCTTATTTAAGTGATCGATCTCAAAAAATTGTTGTAAATAATTGTTCTTCCTCAAACTTAAATATAAAGTCAGGTGTACAGATGTCCATTGCTTTTTATAATTTACACCGTTGATATTTTAAATTCTGTTTCTGATTGTAAAGTGCAGGCCTATGCAGATGACACGGTTCTTTATTCACACTTTTTTGTTGAAGATATAGCAAGGACTGGTGACCTTATGAATTCTGTACTTAATAATATCATGCAATTGTCAACAGAGCATAACTTGATGATAAATCCTAATAAATCGAAGTTAATGTTGTTTGGTAGTAAAAAATAAATTAATGTTGTGAAATCTAGTTTAAATATCAATTTGAATGACGTCATCTTGCCTATAGTAGATGAGGCGAAGAGCCTTGGGATAATTGTTTACTCTAATCTTAGATTTAAGGGGCACGTAAAAAAAACTTACGCAGAAGGCATATTCTAGTTTAAAGCTAATTTTTTCGAGTCGTCATTTTTTTCAACTTTAATTTACGTAAAATGTTGTGTGAGTCGCTTGTTTTGTGTCATTTTAATTACTGTAAGTTTATATATGGCTACTGTCTTGACGAATTTGATAAAAATGGTATTCAAAAAGTTCAGAATTCATGTTGTCGTTCCATTTTTGGATTAAGAAAGTCTGATCATATTTCTTGCAAAATTAAGGAATGTAACTGGCTCAACATGAATAATCGCAAAGTTCATCATCTTACTACATTTGCTCATAAAATACTGATATTCCCCAATTCATCAGTTTTGCTCATAAACAAATTTATGAAACGTTCCAATATCCACCAGAGATATTAGATTTAAAAATACTTTTACCCTTCCACATCATCGTACAGCTATGTTTATTAGAAGTTTTATATATAATGCAGTTACCATTTACAATTCAATACCTAACCAATTTAAAGTTAATATTAACAAATTTAAATATAAATATAAAAATATATATTTAGCAAACAATAGGGTTATAGCACACTATAACACTATTGTTGTTATACTATACATTGACCGCACCTGCCCGTCTCACTCTTAGACATTTCTAATGTGATTAAAATTTTTTTAAATTTTAATTAGCTATACTTTGCTTACTCTTTTATTTTTTTTATTTCGTAGTAGTTAGACAGCTGTTTGTATACTTTTATTTTGAAATGTAGTGTGCCTCATTTTGGTTGAGTATGAGTAGCTCTTAGCTAGACTTCGCCTGAATGAGGTGGCATTGCTTTTCGCAATATGTTTATTCTTTTTTCTTATTCATTTTTTATATCTATTTCTCTTTGTATATTTGTAGTTACAATAAAGCCGATTTATTATTATTATTAATTGACCATGACCAGAAACACACCAAAAACAATTGAAATAACACAACATTTGTTAAGTTAGTTGTCAAATTAAATAGTTGGGCCTGAATAGTTTTTTGCTGAAAATTTAAATAAAAATGCCTAGGGATAATCGGAAGTGCTGGAGAGTTCTAGATATTTTAGTTGTGTTCTCCCTAGGGATATTGCCATGTTGCCATATATATCGATCGAAGCAGTTCCCGGTGGGACACCCTGTATTGACAATATACCAAATCGACATTGCAATTTAATGCTATTTTAATGATATTGTTAGAACCAAACTATTTTTTTAATGTTAGTTTCTTCAAATACGTCAATCGAACGTCTTTGTCTCAAGCTGAGCAGAACCTGCGTCGACGAGCTTTGGTGGCGCGTACTCCTAGGTCCTGACATTCGCGAATGCTACTTAGTCGGGTACGAGTAACCGACCGATAAAGTAGACTGTCGATCGCCGACCATCACTCATGCAGTAGGACGGCTCACAAGGTCGGGTCGGTGGTCTATTTTTGAAGTGATTAGAAAATGAAAGTGACGGGTAGAGTGCTCGTGCTCTTTGCGCTGATCGCGGCGGCGTGTGCGGAATTCAAACTGATGGTTTTGCACAACAACGACATGCATGGGAGGTTCGAGGAGACCGAGAGGAATTCCGGCACCTGCAAGGTCCAGCACAGGTAGGAAGGAAGGTCCTTAGATTTCGATTTGATCGGCTATAGGGTCTTTTTTTTAATCGCCCTTTTACTAAGAGAATGATAGAACAAGACCCATCTAAACTATAAAAATGTTGAAATACACGGATTCCTTTAATTTTTAGGAAAACGTGTGTAAACATGTAAACATCGGAACGTACCATTCCTGTTTTGTAATGAATTTTGCAAAAATACTCATAGTTCAAGCGGTATAGCATTCGAGGGGTTTGTATTTGAATCTATTTTGTTGTACAGTCAAATCCCAAATATTATGTAGAATAAGAATCGGAGTTTACCTATTCCAAAAAACCATTGCTAAATTGAGGGGAACAACAAACATACAAAAAGGACGAAAATTGACCCGTTTTTCGACATATTTATTCCTGTAACATTGGGAGTAAGCCCTAAACAAAAAAAGCCATTCTTTATTTTTTTGTTTATTTGACGATTTGCTTTTAGTGCAGTCATTGAAACATTTTGGCTACCAATTTTTTCGGACGGAATGGATTGACGTGAAATTTGAAACATTTTTTATATTTTTTTTCGGATTCTACATAAAAAATAAAGGGTACTTTGTGTAGAATAGTTCTATTCAAATATTCACAGTTTTTGAGATATCTCGCTTGAAAGGTTTTTCTAGTCGATATTGGTTGCTTACATTTTCTGATACTGACAGGTTATACTAATAGCTACTAAGCCCATTTTTTTATCAGATGTTTAGTAAGGATGACTCTTCCGAATCATGCTCCAAAAACTGGCCTGCGTTATACAGGGTGACCAAAATATCATGTCAAAATTGCCAATTGAAAAATTGAAAAATCTCGATTTTTTTAAATGCAACGCCCTGTATATTTTCATACCATGAGATGCAGAATTAAATTCTCTACAACTTTGCTATACCTGCTCCTATACCAAAATTCATTAGTTTTTCATGAAATCTCATTTCTATGAAAAAATGCGAAGTTTACAAATAGCTTATATGTAAAATAACGTAGTAGGCTCCTGTCAAAGGATAATCTGGATAATTTTCGATTCACATAAGGTTTAATAGAAAGAAAGGTTTAATAGAAGAAGAGAAGCCCATGGTAACTGTTTATTGGCAAGTCGTATTTACCAAGCTAATAATCCAGATTTACAAAGATATCCTCGTACAAAGTGTTTTGTAAAACTGAAGGAGAGGTTTGAAAGAACGGCAAATGCAAATTATGAGAAGACAACAAGAACACACGCATGTGGTAATCAGGATAGTCAAATTGACATTTTGGAATGTGCAGTCCAAAATCCATCTACAAGTGTCAGAGAAATTAGTGATGAAATTAGTATTTCCAAAAGTGTGGTTAATAGAACGTTAAAGAAAAACAACTTCCACCCCTATCATTCTGAGCATCACCAATTCTTAACACAGCAAGATTTTCAGAAGCGAGTACAGTTTTGTGAGTGGGCAACTATAAAGCTACTACAAGATGAATTTTTTTTTCAAAGGTGTTATTTACTGACGAGTCATCCTTTGCCAATACTGGTCGAGAGAGTCGACATAATTATCACCATTACGCCGATCATAATCCCAGATTAATAAGACAAGACGATCATCAACACCGCTTTAAAGTCAACGTTTGGGCGGGAATATGCGGAGAATATGTCATTGGACCACATTTTCTTGAAGGAAACTTAACTGGTAATGGGTATTTGCAACTTTTACAAAACGACTTGCTCCAATTGCAGGGACATATTCCTCCGGATGACTTAAACAGTCAGTGGTTCCAGCATGATGGTGCCCCTGCACATTCCACACTGGTGGTAAGTTTTCTCATTATGTAAGTTATGTAAATTCATAGAAAAACTGTTTCAGGTTAGAGAATACTTAAATGATTTGTATCCATAGAAGTGGATAGGTAGCCAATTCCATGGCCTCCCCGATCCCCAGACCTGTCTTGTCTAGATTTGTTTTTTATGGGGCTATGTAAAAAACAGGGTGTATGAAACTCCTCCGACAGATGTAGAAGATTTACGGGCAAAGATAAGAAATGCTTTTTTGACCCCTAACTCCGGAAATGCTGCAAAATGTGTCAAGCAATTTTCGTCGTAGAATTGCTCAATGTCTATAGAAAAATGGCAGACATTTTGAGCGGTTACCTGTTAACTACTAATTTAACTAGGTCTTTATTACTTTTGTTAGAAATGCACGATAATTTACTGTTTTGGATACTGCATGCGTGTGTTCTTGTTGTCTTCTCATAATTTGTATTTGTTGTTCTTTCAAACCTCTCCTTCAGTTTTACAAAACACTTTGTACCAGGATATCTTTGTAAATATGCATTATTAGTTTGGTAAATACGACTTGCCAATAAACAGTTACCATGAGTTTTACTAATTATTCTATTATTTATTTACTAATTCTTCTTTAGAGTAATTCATTTCACTATTATTACTGTCGCTTTTCTATTAAACCTTATGTGAATCGAAAATTTTCCAGATTATCCTTTGACAGCAGCCTACTACGTTATTTTACATATAAGCTATTTGTAAACTTCGCATTTTTTTATAGAAATGACATTTCATGAAAAACTAATGAATTTTGGTATAGAGCGGGAATGGCAAAGTTGTAGAGAATTTAATTCTGCATCTCATGGTGTGAAAGTATACAGGGTGTTGCAGTTAAAAAATTCGAGATTTTTCAATTGGCAATTTTGACATGATAATTTGGTCACCCTGTATAACGAGGCCAGTTTTTGGAGCATAATTTGGAAGAGTCATCCTTACTAAACATCTGATAAAAAAATGGGCTTAGTAGCTAGTAGTATAACCTGTCAGTATCAGAAAATGTAAGCAGCCAATATCGACTATAGTAGGATCATATTCGATGCAAAGTAATAAATCATTGCCTGTCAAGGGAATCAGTGTAACACATTTTATGGGGGTTTTGGAAATTGAATAATTTCTTTATGCATTATGAATTAATAGTATATATTTATGAAGAACAAAATGAAAAACAAAGGCATCTCCTTCGCACACTGGGCGGCAGGGCAACAATACATTTATTACTTCCTTCATCCTCCCTCATATGACTTGTGTCTTGTGTTTTTTGCGGCGGCGCGCGTGCCGGCCTGGCGTGGTCAGTTTCGTTTCGGTTGTATTGGTGCTGCGTGTTTCTCGCTCGCGATATTTGTGAGGTTATAACTGTTATAAGTGCAATTATATTTCTTTCGGGCTATATGTGTGTTTCGCGCTATTATTTGAGAATTTGTGAGTGAAATCATATTTCTTGTGCTCCGTAACAAAAGTGTTTTTAGTGTTTTATTTGTGTGCTGTGTGTGTGTTTCGGGCTGTTGTTTGTGAATCGTGAATGCTATTATATTTTCTGTGCTAGTGAAGTGAAGTTTTTTGTATTATTATTGCTCTGTTGTCGTTATATGGATAAATGGAGGCGGTGCCTGGATGTTCGCGAGCCGGATGTACTGCTGTGGGTACAAAAAAATCTATATTAAGTTACAGAGAAAAAACGATAATATTAAATGTCTATAACCCTTTAGAAAAGGATCATCCCATGAAACTGAAGACTGGTTTGGTGGAAATGTGTTCTAGATATACTGGAGTAAGCGAATTATCTGTTTTCAAAATTTTAAGAGAGAAGAAAATTGAAGGAGACGTTAAGAAACCTAAAAAAGGGGGTGCAAAGAAGAAATTAATATTAAATGAAGATGAGAAAAATGCAGTTTGGCGTACAGTACATAAATCATAGAATTTATATTTTGTTTATAATTTGTTAACATTTCTTGTTTGATAGAAAAATAACTTATTTTGTTGAGATTGGTAGAGAATTGTTGTTAGTGTTTTCATTTGATAGAATCATATCATAGGATTTATATTTTGTTTTCATTCTGTAAATATTTATAGTATATCTGTTATACAAGGTTTTTGCTTTGAAACTTCGTTCTCCTTATAAAAAAAAGAATCGTAATGGGGTGCGATGAAGAGATCAGTTCACGTCTGGAACCCTGTTCCTACAAAAATCCCTTTATTCTCATAAACTATTTGTTTTAAATGTAATTTATTATAAATCCAATTCGTTATTTAAATTCCACATATGTACTACATTTCACCTCTGTACGCGCCACTGTTTATTGTTCCCTGCTCTACGATCAAGCTCGCCAGGTTAGTATTTGACGTATAACCGACCACTTCGTACACTCGATGCACCTGGCCGACTACAGCTAGTACCAGAACACAGTGCGTATGCGGCGGTATTTCAGATTTTACATTCAATTTCATTTTAAATTTGAAGTGGTTCATCTTACGCCTCCTAAAAATGATGACACGATTTTCCTTTGATAAAAGGCCGACAATTTTTTGCTCTACTTTGCATCGAATACGATCCTACTATAGAAAAACCTTTCAAGCGAGATATCTCAAAAACTGTGAATATTTGAATACAACTATTCTACACAAAGTACCTTTTATTTTTGATGTAGAATCCGAAAAAATATAAAAAATGTGTGTTTCCATTTAAAAAACCAAAGTTGGTGTCTGTCCAGGAAAAGTGGAACCCACTGTATGGTTGAATATATTTTTAATTTGTACATTCCGAGAAATGTGGCAACAGAGTAAAAAGAAAAATTCATATATTCCTCATTTTAACATAGATATTGGACTTTGCCGCACTAGTGAGACACACTGTATAGTGCCGATGTGTGTTTTTACCCTAGGGGTGGGTGCCACCTTTCTGGAGGGTGGGAATTTTTTTATTAAAAATAACCTCACGATTCGATAGAGGAACTTGAAAAGCATATTTAATTGGTATACTTATCTTTGTTCATTACTGGAAAAGTTACCTTAATTAGCACTATTAAATTTTTCATTTACTTCATTTACTCATTTACTACTGTGTAAACATTTTGCATTATTTATTAATAAGCAAGGGGTGTCCAAATTATTATAACTTGACCAAACGTACCTATATACAAAGTTGCACCCCCGAGGAGTTATTAGCCCCCAAAGTGGGGCCCCAAATTTCGAACAAAATTAATCTCTGCAATACTTTACCGTAGAAGAACCAAATTTGGTACATGATTTAGGTTTATTACTGGTCTTCTTTGACTATGGCTTAGAGTTAATTGAAGCACTACAAGGTGTTCATTGGGGATGACTCACCCCTAAAATTGTACCGAACTTTTTTTTCATTGACCGAATTGAAAAATAGTAATATTAATTCACAGCAGTATTTAATTTTAATTTTTTTTACTCTTTTTAAGTTTTAAAAGCTTTTATGGTTTTCAAGAAACACCGTATTAATTGACACAAGATTTTAACAGTGTTCATTAGAAAATAATCAGAAAGTCAGTCGTAGGTTTTATCTTTCAAATTTGACAATTGGCCAAATAAATTTTACTTCACTTCTCTCCTAATTCTACAAAAAGAAAACAAGTACCTAGGTGGTTTTTAAATAAGCGATACTGTATTAAGTAAAAAACACAAATAAATAATAAAAACAATAATTAATATTTTTTCAACAATCAGAGGTTGAAATAAAATAATTTTATTACTAACTGACAAGTTTGAAAGATAAATTCATTGCCTACTACTGACTTTTCGATTATTTTCTAATAAACACTGTTAAAATATTGTTTCAGTAAAATTTAACAAGAGTAAAAAATTTTTAAAATTAAATTCTGCTGTGAATTAATATTATTCTTTTCAATTAGGTCAATGAAAAAAAAGTTCGGTACAATTTTAGGGGTGAGTTATCCCCAATGACCACTTTGTAGTGCTTCAATTAACTTTAAATAATAGTCAAAGAAGACCAGTAATAAACCTAAATCATGTACCAAATTTGGTCCTTCTGCGGTAAAGTGTTGTAGAGATATTAATTTTTTTCTAAATTTAGGGCCCCACTTTGGGGGTTAATAACTCCTCAAGGGTGCAACTTTGTATATAGGCAAGTTTGGTTAAATTACAATATTTTCGACACCCCTACATGCACCTGCCCTGTGTCGGTTCTTATGCGGGGCACCCTGTATATTCTATTCGTCTACGAGTATAACAGATGTTTTAACAAAAAAATATATAAACATATTCTTACGAGTTTTAAAGAAATGTTTTCCAAACAAGGAGAATATTATTAAAGAAAATTAAGGATTATATTCTAATAAACTGTGTTTTTAAGTAAAAATTTCCAACGCCATCAGTAATAAGTGCATTGACATATTAATTAAAAGTTTAAATATTGTTTTGTGTTAGTTCCGTTGCTTTTATTATAATTTATGAAATGTTGGTTCACTGGCAATCAGCAATGAGTTTTTAGAAAATTCGCTACACATTGCACTAGACATTGCTAAAGTTTGGAGTTTCCTCATTCTCTTGCTTTTAAATTAATTAGTTAATATTAATCATAGAATACAGCTTCAAAAAATAAAACTATAAAAGTCAGTAAACAAATTTATATCAATCACGAATACTTTCAGTGTAATTAAGGCTCAGTGGGGCAATGAAATTATGTGTACTTTTATAATAAACTAAAATGTCATTTAAATTTAATGTTTAATTAGCGTTGCTAATTTGGTAATTAACAAATTTTATTTTAGTGTCGATTTTAGTGTGATATGAAATCGGCCCTAATATATAGTATATTTCCATAGCTCATTTGGATAATAAACTACCCATCTTATCTATAACAATGCTCATTCCACTCCAAGCTATGCATGCACAGTAATGGCTGATACTGTTCTACACTACATGCTTTAATTTTGGGTAATAAATTTATTTCCCAGAAATTGAAATAGAAATTTATTTTAGTTTATCTCAATATTTGTGCTGTCAAATATAATATATACAGGGTGTTCCTAAATAAGTGTCGCAACGGAACACTGTAAATTCATCTTGAAAAAAGAAACATTCTATTCCTCTTCCATTTTTCTCTCTAAGCTTTCGTTTTCGAGATACACGGTGTCAAAACTATTTTTTTTTTTGTTTTTTTGCCAATATCTTAGGAACCGTTTGAACTGCAGTACTGAGTTTTTGTACACACATTACCACTATTAATAGCTACTTTTTCACACCCTTCTCGAATTCATTGAACGTGCCAGTGGTGGAGATTTTAAGGTATCGTAAGGGTTTTCCCCCCTAACTTTTACGCCACTGGAAAAATTGACATTTGACAGCAAATTCTGAAGCGCCAATGAATTTTACACAAAAAGAGTTCTCTTGGTTCATTACTCTAAAGTCAACCGTTTTTAAGAAAAATTACTTTTTATAAACAAAAACAAACATTTTGCTAACATTTCGAAAATCTTTTGTAATTCAAAAGATAGATAGTAATAATTAACAATTTTAACTAAACTTAACAACGTTTGCAACAAGTAGCTATTAATAGTGGTAATGTGTATACAAAAGCTCAGTCTTGTAGTTCAAACGGTTCCTAAAATATTTGCAAAAATCTGAAAAAAAGTTTTGACACCGCGTATCTCGAAAACGAAAGCCCGGAGTGAAAAATGGAAGAGGAAAAATATGTTTCTCTTTTCAAGAGGAATTTACAGTTTTCCGTTGCGACACTTATTTAGGAACACCCTGAATATCTAGCAAGATTTTTCCTTCATTGCACATGATGGTAGGTGCTATGAAAAAAACCTGAATTGTACCGAGTCTGAAGTCTATCGTGAGTATAATTGATCAAGAACTCTGTTCTACACCTAATCATTGAAGGATCATAAAGCCCTTTGCAATTTTTTTTTTGTTTATTTTGACATCACTGTTGCACCCTGTATATGGACTTGATTTTCAAGGTATGTCCGTCCAGATTATACTTTCGTTTTTTCTTTCTCTAGGAACATCAGTTGTGTCGGCGGCTTCGCGAGGACGGCGTATGAAGTACGGAGATACCGGAAGTTGGCTGAGGAGGGGCAGGGTCCGGAAGTGTTGTTCTTGAATGCCGGGGATACATTTGTAGGGACCGTTTGGTACAGCCTCTTTACTTACAACATCTCTGCGGAATTTATCAACGTACTTAATCCTGATGCAATCGTAAGTTCGATAGTTTCTTTTTATTATATGTATACAGGGCGTCCTAAAATTACATGTACATGGAGCTACCACGGTTTCCTGTGATCAAAATAAGCAGATTTCACTAATCTTATCTCTATCCTGTGTTGCTTCATTTAGCCGCTAAGGGTAATCCAAGTTGACAAAAAAATGTATTTGAAAAAAAAACATTAACTTTCAGTTATTAAAAAACAGTTGCAGCAAACAGTAAATATTTTAAATTTTTTCAGTTGTGGTTATGGTAAAAAAAATGTTTTTTCTTTGTCAAGCACTCGATATGTACTTTTTATTATTTCAAAATAATCTAAGCCTAAAATATCGTACTGTATAACTAGATTTATCTATTTTCATTAATTCTGAGAATGACATTTCTTTTAGAAAAGATTATTTTTGAAACTTTTATCTTCGCACTAATCTTACTAATTAAAAACAGTGTTGCTGGAGCCTGCTGTCATCATGTGATTAATACAACGTTCACAATATTAACTTAAACAACACATGTAGGTTCAGATGAAGTTGACATTTTGTTATGATGATTAATATACAGTTTGTTTATAATCTTGGACAAGATATTTGAAGGGTAAATAAATCTAGGTGGGAAAATCCGTTTGACAGAGATATTGTTAATACCTAGTGACTTACTTAAATAAATTTAGGTGGGAAAATCCGTTTGACAGAGATATTGTTAATACCTACTGACTTACCACAATAATATGAAAAAACATTTTTGAAACTCCTGACTCCATATTTATCCGATTTTTCACATAAACGAAAACCGTTAGGAATGAATAAAAATAAAGGTAAACGGTTTCAGTTAAACATTGTACAATTATTTATTCAATTGACTGTTTTCTGCTTCTTGTGGTAACTATCATAGGCGTTGTTAAGACTTTACTTAGTATTTGTATGGTGTGCACTGGTTTGAAGTTCCTATGATTGACAAATAAATTATTTCCCATCGGAAATTTTCAAGGGGTCATTTGACCCAGCATGAATTACTTATAAATCAATACTACCACATATAAAAATAACTTTAGAAACTATGCCGTCCATTCTTGTTGGTACAATTGAGTACACAGGTAAGCTAAACCTGTCCACCAAGAGGGGATGGTTTTCGGTAAAACATTTTTGTACGGCATTTCTAAAGTATATAGGTTATACAAAAAAAATTAACTTCGACCTAATGCCGTACAAAAATAGCAATACCGGAAGCCAGGGAAATTTTTGGTTTTCTATATTAGGTCGAGGTTCATTTCTTTTGTATAACTTATATACTTTAGAAATGCCGTACAAAAATGTTTTGCCGAAAACCACCCACCTTGGTGGACAGGTTTAGCTGATCTGTGTACTCAATTGTACCAACAAGAATTGACGGCATAGTTTCTAAAGTTATTGTTATATGTGGTAGTACCTATTGAGTTATAATAGTCCAGGCAAGTTAGACCAAAATCACCCAGAATACGGATTTTTTTTCTGATTAACCGATCGAGTTGCGGTTTGCGGCATTGTCTTCGGAAAAATATCAGGAAAAAAGTCTATATATTACACTTTGGGGCTGGATCGAAACTGCATTGCGGGTGCATAAAGTGCATCTTGGAGTGCATCAATT